GATCTCCCCATCGGAGATCATCTGATCTTCATGTTGGTTTAGACTCAAGGGGCAGCTGCTTTGGGCACCTGTATATTATGGGGCACAGGGCAGTTGCCCCTTTCGCCCTGCGGGAAAGAGAGGTCGGATTGACATCCCTATCTGCAGGCCAAAAGTGACCGGTCCGCGGACCACAAATGGCCCGTGGGCCAGTACTATGGGACCCCTGATTTAAAGGATATTTTATTACAGGTATTTATATAGCACTGACAATGTACGCAGCACTTTACATAGTTGCACATTCATATCAGTCCCTACCCTCAAGAAGCTTACAATCTAAGGTATAAAGCTATTAAGAAAACAAAAGAAGACTCTGATCTATAAGAGAAATATTGGAAGATTAGGAAAACATGACAGTGACATACTAAATGGACTAAATTTACCTGAATCTCTCTTGTGCCAGTAAACATCTTTTTTAGACTGCTGAAGACTTGCTCGACCAAATAACGAGAGGCTTGCCAGTTGTATTCCTGTGCAAAGAAAAATAAAAACACAACATACTGAAGAAAAAAAAAAGACCAAGGGCATGAATGTTGAATAAATTCATGTGTATTGCACTTCAATAGGAACTCAGGAACTATATAAAATTGAAAGTTTTATTTTAAAAATCTATTAAGTACAGATTGCCATATATTGTTCATGAAGTAGTCAAAAGAATAGCAGAAATCTTGCTATTATTATTGTTGTATAGAATATTCAGGATCTAAGATCTGTTGCCTGTGTCCTTCAATGAACGGGAGAGAAATGGTACATTTATAAATTCATACAGTTATATCACCTGTGGAAAGGAGTCTGTCTCACGGAGTCTCTTTTCAATCTGAAGACGCCCTCCATATTTAGTTACACCATAGACTACGGTCATTACTGTCTGCTTTACTATTTTACGCCCAATAAAGCCTTCTAGGACCTGAGCAATCTTTATTCCTCTCTTGGCATCCCTTTGGCGCAGTTCCTCCACCTGAGTGCAAGACAATGGCATACTTAGTATAGAACTGATAAAAGGGCAAAGCCTTTGTCATCAAATTGTAATTGCTAGGTGTCTCACCTTTTGAGCAACCTCACTGTAAACATCTTGGGGGGTATCGCATGGCATCAAGTTCACAGACTTTGCTCCAATTTCATCCCTTCCAAGGGCAGCATAATGCTGGAGGCCATTACATGAACCATCCTAGAAAGGAACCAAACCAAAGCAATTAAAATATCCAAGACGTCTTGCAGTCTGGCTAAAAGATTGTTAAAAGGCCTACAATGCCTAATAAAGTTGATGTAAAAACAAAACTTTTTGTGTTTAGTTTTGGATAGAGTGGTGTCAATTTTTTTTTCTCCATCTGGGTGAAAAATCTAGGTAGAGTCACCCCTCTATTTGTCCTGGTAGCCACTGTCACAGAAAATGAGGGGCAATCCAAAATGTTAAAGTTTTCACTACAGCAGGAGGTGAAAGGAATTTCTCCAGGACTTCTCCCCAGTGGGACAGAGACTGCAAAAATAAGCTGATAGAGTTTTTACACATTCCCTATTCTATGGAAAGTTTTGGCTATATATAAACATTAATTGTTCCAAAATCCCTAAATAAAATGTGGGCTACACTGTGATGTGGCAAGTAGCAGTGGAAAACATTAATATACATTATTATTATTATTATACAGGATTTATATAGCACCAACAATTTGCGCAGCGCTTTACAAAACATGAGAAAGTATTTGAAAAAAAAAAAAAAACTCCTGACCTGACAGCATGAGCACAGATACTGATCACCTGCAGGGAAGTGGCACTAGGAACATTACCAGAAAATAAATTCCCCCAGCTCCTGCCAATGTTTTATCCCTTTAAAACACTGCAAGTACACAAAAATACCTGTTGATCCTGCCAGGGTTTCTCTATCTTTCTGTAGTAAGCTGACAATTCTGCCTTTGCTGCACTGAAATCCCATGCACTGTTGTCAGCCCTGCATGGATTTTTACCTTTTGGACTATAGAACTCTGCACACACTGTGTGCATGGAAAGGGCTCTAAGAAGGTATAGCTCTTGGGTGGAAGGTGGCAACATCTGTAGTTACTGACCTAGGGAACCCAGTTGATCCATTCTCGCAGCAGCAGCCCGTCAAATAGTTTTACTCCATGTCACAGGAAGTAATAAAAGCTGTTTCTGGCTACAGGAACAGAGTAAAAGACAAAAAGTAATGCTTGGGCATGCTCTAGATCAGGGGTAGGCAAACTCTGGCCCTCCAGCTGTGGTGGCACCCATTAGATAATGTAAGACTCTGACATTCACATGCAGACTTCTAGAGGCAAATGAATCAGGGGATTTATAGTTTCACCACAGCTGGATGGCCGGAGTTTGCCTACCATTGATCTAGAGGGGAAAAGGGAGGCTCGAGGGTAAATGTATGTCATGCCTATACAAATACATAAAAAAAAGATATGTCAGGACACTGAGCAAAAGGGCAATACATATAGAGACCTCAAACTATACATCATAATAAATGTGGGTTTAGCAATTAGCATATGTACCTGATGCACAGGGAAGTAGGATATGTATTTGGCGGGATCCGGGGAACGTATAGCGTTTGCAATTTCCATGCAGCATGCCAGGGATTGCCAAGGCTCATCAGTCTCCATCCACCATTTCCTACCCTGTGAAGAATAGGCAAGTAATACAGCATGTAAACAATACAGCAAACACTCAAGAAAAGAATGGGAAGGGCTAATATTATTATTGAAAAGTATAACCCTTTTGTGATCAGATGTCATTGATGCCAAGCCAAATTCAGCAGAAACGGCATACGTTGGTTAACCACTTCCAGGCCACAATACTTCTATATACGGCGGCCCACGGAAGTGGTTAAAACAAGAACACAACTGCCGTGTTCTTGGTGTCATTTTTAACAGTGGGTCTTCCCGCAACGATGGGAGAGAGATTCAGCGGCTTCCAGCTGCTGATCTCTGCTCAGATCCCTGGACCCGGAAGTGATGTGTATTACATCACTTCCGGTGTCACCATTTATATTCTCCGGCTCACACATACACACGCAAAACACACTTTGGTGCGCCTACGTGCAAAAACGAGAATTGCGCTACACTTCATTCTGACCTTAGCACTGTTAATAGGTGGCACCGCAGATAAATACTGCAGCTTGAAGAAAGGTGGCAGTGTTCACCTGCAGGCTTTTTTAATTGCCATAGTGATCACATGATCAGGAACCACACTGATTGGTTCCTGGTCATCAGTGGAGTACCCCAGCTGTCAGTGGCAAAATGTGAGCTTCATGCTTTGAAAGGGGAGGAAGTTTATTAAAGCATCCTTGGCATGTGCTATTGTGCTGAGAAACATTAATAACCATATTTGGGGGGCTGCAGGGGTTAAAAAAAAACACTGTGCTTACAGTTAATGGGTGATCAGCAGAATCCAAAATGTCCTCCATAATTTCATCAGCATACTCTTTCCTCTGTTGAAGTGAGCTTCTCTTTTTGAACCCGGTAAGGTTGATGAGATGGATCTTCAACCAATCTAGGCCTTTTTGCCCAAGTGGGTGGCCTTCAGCAAACAGTAGCAATGCCCGGGTCACATCGCTACCCAAATGATTAAAATACGGAGGACAGGGGTAGGTGCGGCCCCGAAAATCCATGTTGTGTGGGAACCAGAATATCTGGTCTCGCAAATGATTGGCGATAGACAGATTATAAAGTGCATACATTCGCAGGCTGTACATCTCACTTGCTTTCTTTCGGCAACGTGCCAGCTCTTTCTGATGTGCATATCTTTCCAATGAGCTCACCATCCCAGATAACAGCCCTGGAACCACAGGAGCTTCAGATAAAGGTGGTGGAATGTCCAGCTTATCATTGCCTTTATCATTAAAGATCGAAATAATAATATCCAGAATAGGTTGGTTAACGCGCCATGGGCATGCTCCAAGTTGATTAATTGCATCCAGCACTGGGTAGAGTTGGCCTGTAGGACACTTGTCCAGCAGCAGCTGATGCTGTACTACTCCCTCATTGCAGCGCATAAGTTGTGCAGGAGACAATAAATAGGGACCAAATTGAGGAGAAATCCAGGGTAATGGGGGACACTTCATTGGCATAACAGCAGCATCAAACGTCAAAAGTGTTTCTTCTGCGTCCTGAAGGATTTGGCTGTAAATTGGGTGTGGTTTTATAAGCCCAACCTATGAATAGAAACATTGGGCATGCCAGGAATTCATTATAAAGGACAGAGGTCAAGACGTAACAGTAAAGTAAAGCAATACATTAAAGCTCGGAAGAGGAGGGTCTACATAGAAACAAAAAAAATTACATAAAATCTTCAATATTTAAATTTGTTTTTGTGTGACCTGGATATTCAATATACAGGTCACACTCTTTTACACACGGCAAGGATAAAGTATTGTAGAACACCAACTGGTAAATTTTAGAAGCTCTTAAAACTACACAAAGATAGCAGAAGACAAGCAATAATTATCCAATGATTGCAATGATTACTTACCTGTTGTGTGGTTCGGAAGGAATATATGTGGTAGAGCACTGGAATAAGTTTGGGATCACAGCGAGGGCTCAACAAGTTATTTTTTATTTTTATGGTCTTAACCAATAAATCTCCTAGGTGTGTGCCCAACTGCATCAACAGAAAGCGTGGCCAAGGCGAGTTGGTCCTAAAAACAGATGTGCCTCCAAAGGTTTCAAATACCACATTTTCCCACAATTCCCGAGGAAGAAAGTCAGAAATCTGCATGCAAGCAGACAGATGGAATAAGATTAATACAGCAACTATAAACATGCCAGCCTTATAAAGGCTAATATACCCTAACCTCATTTATGTCTATTTCCTAATATATTACTGAATGTGTGCTTAGTTCAAGTTGGCCTTACCTTTCCCTCCTTGGAGAGCAACTTGCAATATTCCTTGTACACTAACCGGATCCTATCCATCTGATCGCCCTGCAACTGTTGGCGAATAAAGAACTTACTGTAGATCTTCAAGCCAATATTTCGACAGATGTAAAAGAATGATTCTCCCGTAGGTGGAATCCTGCTCAAAATCTATAGAAGATAATAAATTCAGAAACTAGAGTCATGGAATTGAATCAGTATATACCTCAGGATTTCTGTTAGGGTCTATACATGACGGTATATATAACATTGGAAGCATCAAAGGCATTATGATTAGATAAGAAAAATAACCTACAACAAAACTACTCAACTACTGACAATAAAACTTTGTTTTATTCTCCACATTTACTGTATATAGCACGGTTGTATTACACAGCACTATACAAACTTCTTTATTTGGAGTGTACAAACTACACCTCACTAAGGTCCCCGCACAGCAGTGCAGTGTGCTGAGCTGCAGTGTCATGCAGTGAGCTGTGAAAATATGCAGCATGTCTGTATTTTTCTGTAGCACAGCGCACATCACACCAGCCCTGTGGTGTGAGCAAGGCACATAGAAAACAACTGTTTTCTATGGGCCCTAACGGTGACCTGTGTTTTTCATGTACAATTAAACGCAGGTCACCTCTATATGTGTTAACGTAGTTTCAGAGTTTTCGGCGACGGGCTTTTAAAGTCATTCAGTATATTCACTGGCAGGTGCATTTGACCTGCAGCTGACCTCCTGCTGCCCTGCATTCATCTGCTTCAAGTGGGTTGTGCATTCCTATAGACTTGCATGGGAATGCAAAACCTGTCTGACATGAACAAAAGTCTGTCAACACAGACCTTACACAATCTTGAAATGCACACAAACGACACAAAGATGGTGTTCCTTATGCAAATGAAATGCATATTCAGATAGGTCACTGGCACTCCAGAGCAGTGCCAAGTCAATGTCTTTTTTGACTATGGTAGTGTAACATCTCACAGCTCTGAGATGATCAAAGATCTCAAAGCTGTGAGATGTTACACTACCATAGTGACTCTCTATCTGAATTTGTATACAATTTGCGGAGGCATCTGCTGTCACTGCCGCACCCACCCTGCTTTTTGGGCTTTTTTTCTGGTCAGTAGTGCAATAGGATACATTTTGTTCTAAGTCTTGATGCAAATGAAACACCGGATCTCAATGCTGTAAAGTAGGAGAGCTATAGTATCTACTTTGCTGCCCAATGTAAATAGTGGTAAGGGCTACTTGTGTGTAAGGGCAAGTTCAGACCATTTTCCGCACCAGATCTGTAACGCAGTGGATTGCGTTTTGCCACGTTTGGATTTTTTTGTAGCTTAAATTGGTCTTACAGATGCATTCCAGTGCGTTTGTATGCGTTTTTGATGGGTTTCTATGTGTTCCAGTAATTTTCTTGTCTGGTCTGGAACGGACTGCACTGGTGTGAAAAGAAGACATAAATAGCATAGGGATACATTAGGTGCATTTTGGGTTTGGAAACAATCTGCTCTGGTCTGGAGATGATCCAGACATGGTGGGAATGGGCCCTAAAGGTTACCTATGCAGTCCTGATGTTAAGATTCTGCTCTATGGAGTTTATCAGTGATCTCCCACCCTTGCTGCTCTGTTGCTGTGGTTCTGCAGTATAGGGGAAGATACTGAAGAACATCTTGGTTTTGGATCTCCATATATGAAATTTTCCCAGTTCTATAAACACCCTGCATTAGCCAACTACCTCTAGCCAAATTAAATGAATATTTCATCAAAGAGTTAAATCAGCATATAATAGTAATAACAAAAACCTATTTTGTATGTTACACACACTGGTATACACCAAAGAGACATGCAACGACACAACAAAAGTCGGCAGACAAAACACACCTTGAATATATCTTTACATGGAAAGACTTGTGTAAAGCTACAAACATACATAAAACAGTTTTCCCATGGTAGCACAAGCGTGGAAAAAAATACATCTCCTATATAATTTTTCTATATGTAGCAACTGCTCATTTTCTGGAGACAGGATAAGCTGGGGAAGTGGTCGCTACGATTCAATGCAAAGTAAGATAAGCTTCGGATCAAAATAAAAATAGCAGCAGCTGCTTGTAGATAATAGAAAAATAATTATCAGATTAAAGGGCACATCAAAGCATGATAAAACATTGGGTGTATTAAAAAGAAATACTGGAAGGAGGCTGTGCAGTTCAGCGTCTAAGATTTTCAAAATTGCTCAGCAGAGTGACTGCCATTATAGTGTATATCTACTGATTTGTGACTGATAAAATAATAAGGACATGGAATGAGAAAAATAAACATCAATCTGACAGATGTATGATTAAATAAGATTCGTAATTCCTACTTTGCAAAAAATGTGTGCTGGAGCTGCTGGCCCCTCATTCTGAGAATGAGGTTTTCTGGCTATTATGCCAACCTTCTGCCTTTAATACTTCCTGGAACATGTATACACTGGGTCAATCCAGACTTCTCCCTGGCTTCAGTTGCTGCCTGCTTGTTCTGGGTCAGACTGAATCCATAGACAAGAAGGTTTGATCTTCTGGGAACCACGCAGCTCTCAGTGGTTTCTTCCTCTAGCCTGACGTCACTACTGTATCCTACAGTGACTTGAGGTCAGGAGGAAACCTAGGAAGGTCTCATTCACACTTTGAGGGGAATTTATCAAAACTGGAGCAGACAAAATCTGGAGCAGCTGTGCATGGTAACCAATCAGCATCCACTTTTCATTTTCAAACCTTAACTGAACAAACTGAAGAGAGAAGCTGATTGGTTGCCATAGGCAACTGCTCCAGTTTTGATCAATTCCCCCCTCTGTGTTTAAGGGCAGACAGCAAATTCCTTTGTGACATTCAGTGGTGTTCATGTGAACAGCTGTGGGAGGAAAGCCCTATACATAGTTACATAGTATTTGAGGTTGAATAAAGACATATGCCCATCAAGTCCAACCTATGTGTGTATGTTCCTATTGGTGTGTAGTATGTATAGGTCCCTTGCGTGTTATCAATTTTAGGAGTACTTGTACCCCTGTATATTACGGTCCCTGAGGAAATCATCCAATCGCCTCTTGAATGATTCCACACTTTCAGCAGAAATCACAGCATGTGGCAGCGAGTTCCAGACCTTGACCGATCTGACTGAGAAGAAACCCCTTCGCCTCTGAAATCTTTTATCCACCAATTTTAAGTGGTGGCCTCTCGTCCTTGTCATCGAGTTAATTGTAAAAAGTTTGCTGCTAATGTTACTATCCCCGGTAAACATTTTATACATGAAAATCATTTCCCCCCTCAATCTCCTGACTTCCAAGGAGAACATGTTTAATTTTAGTAGCCTGTTCTCATAACTCAGGGCCTCCATCCCCTTTATGAGTTTGGTTGCCCTCCTCTGCACTCTTTCCTGTTCAAGGACATCCCCCCAGTTCACTGGTGCCCAAAACTGGACCGCAAACTCCAGATGAGGCCGAACCAGTGATCTATAGAGTGGCAAAATTATAGACTTGTCCCTGCAAAACATTCCCCTCTTAATACAGGAAAGGACTCTTCTTGCTTTGTTAACCGCAGCCTGACACTGCAAACTATTTTTCAGCCTGTGGTCTACAATGACCCCCAAATCTGTTTCCCTTTCGGATTTTCCGAGGGGAGCTCCCATTAATGTGTAATCCATTTTCTTGTTTTTAACCCCAAAGTGCACAACTCTACATTTATCCACATTAAACCTCATCTGCCATGTAGTTGCCCATTCCCCTATTTTATCCAGATCCCCCTGTAATGTTATAGCGTCAGATTCAGTGACTATTCCCCTCCCGATTTTGGTATCATCAGCAAACACTGAAACATGGCTATTTACCCCCTCCGCAATATCGTTAATGAATAGATTAAACAGCATGGGGCCCAGCACAGACCCCTGCGGAAGGCCGCTCATGACCCTAGCCCATATACGTCTGCATGTAATTGGACATGCACTCTTGTAGGGACAATCATCCGCAATCAATCTGTGCAGAGGACCCAGGAGATCAACACTTCTGGACTTGTTGGTTTCCCAGTGGACTTAGGGGGACTAACATTTGGGAATGGAGAAGTGTTTGGCAGTGCAGGCACTGGGAAAGATGAATACTTGTTTTAAAAGATAACAAAGGTTTAAATAATATTTTGCAACAACATGTATAAGCAATCACAAAATATTTGATGAATGTCATACACTACTGACTTGTAACATAATCTCCACGTATTGCTCATCCTCCAGCAGGCACAGGTAAGGATATAAATGGTGTGGGCGAGCGTTCTTGTACATCTTTTCCAGTTGGCTCTTTGAGTCTTGCAGTGCATGGAGCAGATCTTTTTGCCAGGCAGAGCGGAGACTATCCAACACAGCTCTCTGCAAAACACAACACATCAGTGTTAGGTGCCAAACAGAAAACCCTTGCCTGTAAATACAGCATAACTCTAAAGGACAAGGGCAACAACTTCTACATTTACAATTAACTGAACATAATAAAAAGAGAGGGTTTACAGAAAAGAAGAAAAATGTATACCAATATTTATCAGTTAACTAAACCATGAATAGCATGCACTGCAGATTCCCTTACCGCTTGTATTTTGCCCTCAGTGAGTGGTTTAATAGCCTCCACAGAGTTAATAGTCACTGAATCACAACTCTCAATTCTCAGTTGTTCCTCAAACCGTTCCTGTAAGTTGGATATTGTGAAGTCCATTTTAGGGTAAGACAGAGGAGGCAGCTAAGATACAGACAAGAAAAAAAGTCAGACTTGATTAGGGCTGCAGCGAACGATTATTTTCATAATTGGTTAGTTGCCCGATTATTTTTTCAATTAATCGATTGGTTGTATTAAACAAATCTCTCTCTCATCGTTGCCAACTATTCTCATTATCGATTATAATCGATTAGTTGTTGCAGCACTAGACTTGATTTGGCAAAATAAAAACATATGTGGCATATGTTTGCAATACATGCACACTTGCCCATGTGTTTTCCCTTTACATATGCTTCAACTACAGAAACTTAAAAAAAACAAAAATTCACTTTTGTGCTTTATGCCGGTTGCATTGAGACCACAATGGTCTTGTATTTAGATCTAGGTGACATTTCTAGTCTCTGTTTTGTTTAGACATTTCAGTTAGCTGCTACTAGTGAGAATTAGCAGGGGCCGGCGATATTTAAGGGTATTTACCTACAACGTCGACCGTTCATGGATAGGATTTATGTCTTTTGTGATACATTTTGATACATTTGAATTTTTAATAAAGTTAATTTTTTCAGTATGTTGTTGAGAGGAACATCTCCTTTGTGGTGTTGTAGTCACATTTCCCCCCCCATTTATAGGTTGTGATTAGGGCACCTGCAAGATATTTGTATGGGTGAGACTCCCCCAATGGTAAAATTTGTACGACTGGGTTCTTCTTATAATCTTGAAAAGTACATATCCGATGATCCTGCCAGAAATCTAACAAGCTCCTCATTTTCTGTTAGCTGATAAGGCTACCTCAGGTACACTAAAACCCCAACCAGTATTGTCAACCCTGCCTGAATTCTTCTCTGCTGGACTACAGAACCCAGCCTAGCCGCAGAAAAAATAAACTAAACTGATAAGAGGCATGGAGGAGCTCAGCTATGAGGAAAGATTAACTGACCTGAATTTGTTCTCTCTGGAGAAGAGGTGATTAAGAGGGGACATAATCACTATGTATAAATGCATAAATGGTCCATATAGTGAGCTTGGTGCAAAATGATTCCCTTTAAGGTCACAGCAAAGGTCACATCGCCCGGCTTCCTGATTGCCTCTGAAACCGGTGTTCTAGAAAAAGAACCCCAGGCTTCAGAGGCTGCATTGCTTCCTGACCAATCAGGAAGCCGGGCGGTGAGTCATGAGATGCTGTTCCTGATTAATCAGGAAGCCAGGCTGCCCGCCAATCAGGAAGCCTGGCGGGACGTCATGACCCGCCTCCCAGCTTCCTGATTGGCTAGGAAGCCGGCTTCACTTGTTTCTAGGCAGCATGGCTTTCTGACCAATCAGGAAGCCATGCTGCAAAACAGGTAAGCAGGAGAGGGGGCAATGTTTTAGTTATTAATTTTTGTTGTTAGTAGTTCTGTGTTTTATTAGTTGTGTGTTTTTTAAGGAGTGTGTGTGTTGTGTGTGTTTTACTGAAGATATGTATGTGTGTGTGTTTTAATAAGAGTGTGATGTGTGTTTTAATGCGTGTGTTGTAAGAGGCAGACTGTGTGTGTTTTAATGTGTGTGTTTCATTACGTGTGCGATGTGTGTGGGTGTGTGTGTGTTTTATGTTTCTTTTTTGAGTGTGTGATGTGTGTGTTTTATTGAGCGTATAAATGTTTGAATATGTGTGTTTCCCTATTTTGCCTAAGCAGTGATGTTGAACTTTTTTTTTAAACCCCAGCGCCCAAACTGCAATACAATACTAAACTTATTTTCAGTGCTGGCACTTTTGAGATAATTACATAAATTTTGCAGTTTGGCCACTCGGGTTCAAAAACCCGAGTGCCATTTTTTTTAACCTGCTGGAGCAAATTTGGCCGTGCTTCATGAGGGGTATTTGTTTTTTTCTTTCCTCTTAATCAACTGTGGGTATATGTTCCTGTATATGGGGGTTTTCAATTAATGTATTCATTGGGGGTTTTTTTTATTGGTTGAACTCGATAGACTTGTGTCTTTTTTCAACCTGTCTATGTAGCTGTGTAGCCAAAGTCGCCATATAACTCAAACTGCTATCCAATCAATTTCTGCAAGGCTGCGGAGGTAGTTTTATCTCTGCAATCTTATTTAGCATCTTTTATTCTAAGGATAACCTACGCTATCTGAGTAAATTAAACGTGGTCTCTCTGATACTGCCAAATACATGGCTATATTCAATTTTAATAGTCTTCAACTGCTTACAGATATTACCAAAATATTACTTTAAAAACTGTGATATGACAAGGCATTTAGACTTCCACATCGTGGTAATGCAAGTAACATGCATAACTACACTGCCATTCATTTTACAGCTGTGTTGTAGTACCCCGCAAGGTAGTGCACTGCAGTCCATTACAAAAAAGAGGGTCACAGACAATTTTTGGTACATTAGGGTAAGTTGGCATTCTATTAATTTCAAAGGACTGCCTTTACTAATCGCATGTGCATACACCAAATAACCATTGTTTCATTGTAATAGGCTAAATGAACAAAACATAGAATGTATTTCTTTTTACATCCTCCTACAATACATTTCAGTCCAACTTACTTTCTTATAGAAATGATCAACCAGTGGATGATCTATAATGATTTCATCTCTAGAAGGTGGCTTGAAGGCTGGCCTGACCCGATGGATGGCATTCAGCACCATCTGCTTTTCATCTTCACGATATGTCAAGTCCTCAAAAAGCTGTTCAAGTGACATTCCATCCTTCTTCATCTGATTCAAGCAACTAGAAAGAGATTGAACTAATGATAACACCTTAAAAGAGAAAAGACCATGAAGCCCAACTCCAGGCAAAACATTTTATTTTGTTTTGGAGAACGGGAATGAGTTGGAGACCCTGTCATTGGAGACGATGTCTCTGAAGGTGAGATTTGCCCTCACTTTCTGTCAGGACAGCAGAGAAAATGGTAACTTTGCACAATGTTTTTATTGCTATTGTGCCTTGCTGTCCTGGTGCAAACCAATCCCATTTCTTGTACGCAAGTACCACAGGAAAAGAAAGCGAAGGAAAATATCCACAATCATTTCTATAAAAAAGGGCTGGAGTTCAGTTTTAAAATTAGAACAAATAAGTGCACAGTTGAAACGTTTTACCTGCCAATATATTTGTAAATATGTTCGGCTAGTCTTGTGATTCACACAATCCAGCCACAAAAACACTGCTATTAAAAGACAGAGTAAAAAATGTATGGCCAAAAATGTCAGTGTGTCCACTCACCTTTAATATGCACAGTGCAGAACCTGTGCCATTCTCTACATGAAACCAGATAGAGTGGATGCAAGCTGCTTTTTGCCACAATCCTGTATGCAAGCGTTTAATTCATCATGATTAAACACTATAGAGGTACACTCCAGTCAAAGTGGAAAATTACACCTTCAGATACATACATGAAGCATAGCCCACAGCCATGAAATACAAATGTCTTTCAGACACAGGAATACTGCACTGGTCCACCCCAATGTCTTTTTTTTTTTTGCAATCTGGTGATCCTGGAACATGCCTGCAAGTAAAACTGCAATTCACATTTGCATGCTCCATCTACCTCCCACATTACAGAAAGCCTGGTAAAAAAAAAATGCCAGTACTAAGATGTTTCTCACAGACATCAATCAGATTTAAACCTGCATTTGAAGTTTTAAAAGAGGACTACGGGGTCAGTGTTTTTTCCCATAGTTCTCTTTAGAGTCACAGGAGGACATATACTAGCCTCTTTCGGTGACCCAAAGCTCAGTATATAGCGAGCTATTACCCGCGATATACTAAGACCGCCGCAGCCGGGATGGATCCCGACAATACTGTTGAGATCCACCCAGCTGTGTGAGTGACAACTGGCTCTGCCTATCTAGGGGCAAAGTCAGCTGGAGCACCCTCTCCTGTTCGTTCCTCCACTCAGTGCTGGAGGATCGGAGAGGGGAGGCGGAAATCACTGACAGACACCGCTCACTGCATTGAGACGATTGGGAAGTGAGCAGATCGGTGCATGTTTCTGCTCACTTCCCGATCGATGGAGACGACCTGTGACAGCTTCTTTGTCACAGGTCGGCTCCATCTATGAGGATGAGTGGAAATCCCTTCCCTCTAGTTCTCCTTTAATGTAACAAGTGGTATAAGAAACAAAGAGAGAAGCACAGGCTTCAGGAAGTGGACTCCTATTGTCCTTTTCTGGAGCACTGTGGATGAAGATTAAAGGAGAATTATGAGGTGAGTTATTTTCACTCAGCCTCATAATTTGGGAACAAAAGTAACCACCCTCCAGAAGGAAGGACAGTGTCAGAGTGATACCCAAATAAGATATATTTTTGTCGTTAAGGTACAAATGTATTTTTAAGATTGAACTCCTGAGTTTAGTGTCACTTTAACATGGAACAGAAATGTCAGTTATGTCACTTAAGTCTCCTCTGAACACTTCACTGTTAAACACTATGACCTGTGAAAACGACTGCACTGAAGACTACTACAAAAGGAAGTTATTTGTACCTTTTAATGCCTTTTATGTTATTTTCATTGCGACCAAAAGCTTCTAATGCTGCAGCATACGAACCAAGATTTGGTTTTAGTCCAAACTTTTCCATCATTGTAAAAAAAAGGCCAATTTCAACCAATAAGCCCTATAAAACAAGTATAGGATAGACCAGTCAAGGAATGAATAAAGTATGCTGAATCACAAGATAACTAGTCATTACGGTATGAAACAACATTGTCACTTAAAATGATATTAAAGTCAAAAGGTTTCAAAGCTATTTCAAATGCTAATTAAATAATTTACAATGGATGCTGCTCCTTGTTGTTTAAACGTTCTAGTTTCTGTAGAATCAGCTGATGCCCTGAGCACTGGCCCTGATATTCTGTTTTACTGTGGCTTCTTTCCCTTGCGGGGTCCTATGGAGCCACTCTTGTGTGTTATAGTAAGCTGTGTGAGTCCCCACAAACACACATATTAGGCCTGATGAAGGGGGACCCTGCATGGCCCCGAAACGTTGCCTTGTAATGTGTCATAATGCATGAATAAAGAAGTTTGGACACAACTTTTTCGGTGTGCTGGTGACTTTCCTTAAATTACTTACAAGCACACAGGTACAGCTAGGCAAGATACTCCTCTGCTTCTCCTTTCACCAAGCTAGTACACAGGACAGTTGCTAGAGACTGAGCTTTCCCTTGTGATCTTGTACTGGACAGGAATTTCAGGGAAGTGGAGCTGAGCGGATTGGAGCCAGCTGATTGGTAACATGATGAGTGTAAGTGCTTGGGCAAAACATTTTAAGAAATATGTTACTTGGCAATGCATATTATTTGATCTGGATTTATTATTAAAAAAACATTGGAAGAGTTTAAATACTACTTTAAAGCAGAACTCCAGGATACCACCATACTGCAAGGGTTAAGTGCTCGTTTGTGTCGTTAGTGCTAAAATAAAGATATACTCACCCAAATTTCAGACCCAGCAAACTGTCAATGCGCTACCTCCAGCATGTTCCCTCCACCTCCGCAAACTGGAATGTTCCTCAGCGTCCTCACGTCTATGTACAGTGTATAGACGTGATGAATTACTGGACACTAGACCACTGCAGAGGAGGGGGAGAGACATTTCAGGGACCGGTCTAATAAGAAGCCCTCTCCAAGCTTTGGGTGAGTAATTCTTAGTTTTTTTAAGCTAAACACAAATGAGCAGTTAACAATAACAGTGTGGGGGTAGCTCCACTGCAAGAGTAAAAAAAAAATCCTGGAGTTCTGCGTTAAGGTATATGAAAAATGCTTCAATACTTATCATAGGTTTATCAACCAAAAATCCAGGAAAAACACATGATACAAATGTTATAAATTGGGTTGCAGTTCAGTGAGTAAAATAAGTATTTGATCCCTAAGCAAAACATGACTCTGATCATCAAGATGTGGTCACTTTGGAAGGAGGTCCATAAGGAGGTAAACCTTGGGTGCCAGTGTTGGAGGATCAGAGCAGGGCTCCAAATCCACACTGCCCAGGGCAGTAGTAAAGGAGTATAAGCCATCAGGTGAGTGTGTAAGTTTTACCATTGCGGCAGGACTGGAGGATACCCCCACCTGCAAAGAATATCAGGATTTCCCTTTTATGAGATGTAGCACCCTCCACCTGCCAAAAATTCTGCAAGAGAAAAGGCAAAGCACCTGTTACCATCCATGAGGACAAGGGCCTATTCCCCACAACCCCTCAGTGTTCACCTGTCTACCAGTTGTCACAAGCAGCACTGGACTGGACCAGCATCTGTTTATTCTTCCAGACAAGGCAGAGTTTAATGTCGCAGTGAGTGAAGGGGAGAGTTATACCAGGGAAGAATTCAGCTCGACTTTAGGTCGGTGTCTGTGAGCAGAGCCACACAGTGACAGCAGTAGTATGTCTGTAGAGGGGACTCCCTGTCCAGGCCTGCAGTATATAGGGGAGATGGGGAGCGGGAATCCCACCGCTATTTTATGAGTGCTGCAAGGTGCAGCCAGAACCGGGTCTCGGGGGAGGGGAATGGGGGTGAAGCCTCTATATCACTCGTTGATGCTTTTCTGCTGCTGCTCCCTTTTTGTGGATATGTTGCAAGGAAGACAAGAACATATTTTATATTCTCACTAAGGCAGGGCTGGACAATTCCTGGATGCCAGGTCGCCATTGTAACTGAATCTCCCCGGTGGCACAGTCATTGACAGCAGGGACAAGAGGATCGTGAAAAAACGTGCAATGCAGTCACAATGACACTGTAGTATCGCCCAGTGGACATGAGATGGTGCTGTGCTCAAACTGCAGACAGAGGAGAAACAAAAAGATCAGAAGTAGAGAGTTATGCAAAAGAGATCAAAAGCCAGCTGCGATCAGTGAGAGTGGAGGCACAAGGTGTGAGCCAGCCAAGGGTGGGGCACATTACCAGATGATTACCAGACAGTCAATGTTGCACAAGACAGAGTGCTCTAAGCCCTGCTGGTGTGTAAAAAAATGCACATGTGGCTCAGGTAATGGCAGCAAACTGTGGTTCCTCAAAAAGATCTCATCAGAGAGACTGCAGGGACTTCAAAGTAAGGCCTCGTTCACACCAGATGCAGTGCGTTCCGGCCCGATTCTGTGGGGCAGGAGGTCCATTGAAGTGAATGGCCCCGTAGCCACGCCCTCCAGCCGCCATGCGATCCGGTCCGGTCCGAACAAAATGCTGCAGTGCCATTCACTTCAATGGACTGCCCCGTCCTGTCCCACAAAAAAGTGAGCAGGCCGCAATAGAGACAGTGCGTTCTGGCCAGAATCAGCCCGGAGCGCACTGCATTTGGTGTGAACGAGGCCAAAAAGTGACAGTATGGCCAACTCACACAGTAAGTCTTCAGAGAAAGGGCAAGAGCTGAGACAATGCCAATGACTTTGGATGTGGAAAGCATTCCGGAGGTAACTTGTTACCAAAACAGGATCTGAAAAATGCCTGACACAGAACACAGTGCCTGAGGGCCTGGTCACATGAGTTTCAGGTCCTGATCAGGTGCGGATCTGCAGACGAGGTGCTATGTGCTTTTGCCGCGTTTTTGATGCGTTCCAGTTAAAAAAAAAAAAAACATTTTTTTTTTTGCTGGAGTGGGGCAGTATGTTAGCTGCAGTGCAGTGCATTTTTGACGCGTTTTCGGACCGTTTCCTGACCGTACAAAATGTGACATGCAGTATGTTTCTGTCGTAACCTGAACGGACTGCGCACGTGAGAACTGTAGCCCATAAAACACATAGTGATACATTGGGATGCATTTTTAGTGCAGGAGCGTACGGATCAGGTTAGCACAGAAAACGGACGTCGTGTGAACAGACCCTTAAGGTCCAGTCTTGTGACGTGCAGGTATGGCACTCTAAAGCTAAGATAAGGAAAGGCCTATCCAGATAGCTGCGATGAAGAAACCAGCAGAAGCAGCGATCCATCCTTCTAGGACACTAGTGAAAATCTGAACCATGCTGGGTAGAAGAGGGGTTATCCTGGCCTACAGATTATATGTGTGCCAGTGTCCAATCCTCCTGTAGGCGGAAGTAAAAGCCGACAGTGCATGACTACATGACTGAATGTACATGTCTCTCAATGGACAATAAGGAAAGTAATTTGCCTGCTCCTCTTCTGGATGTGACAGTCATCATTTTTTTAGGAAGGCATTCAACAAATTTTGGAGTGCGTGTGTGGAAATTTGAACCCATTCAGCCCAAAAGGTACTGATATTGGATGAGAAGGCCTGGCTTACAGTTGACAGCCAAATTAATTCCATGGCGTTCAATAGTATTGAAGTCAGGTATATGAGCAAAGCAAAAAGGTAAAAAGTCACCAGCACTCGATTTTTTGAAAGTAAATATGTCCCTTTATTGGACAAAAGACGTCATAGGGGAGCTTTGTGTTTGCACGGTGCCATCCGTGATTTGGTCACTTCGAGCACCATCATCCTAAATTGGCCGGGACTGCTGTAAGGTGTGCGGAGGGCTCCCTTCCATTTCTACACAGGTATATGAGCAAGCCACTTGAGTTCCTCCTGACCAGACTCATCAAACCATGTTTTTATGGATTGACTTTTTATACAGGGGCACAGTCGCAACAAAACAGAAAATGGCCTATCCTAAATGTCACCAAAGTTTTTCTTCTTTTTCTACAACAGAATACTAAATTAACTGGTGTTTTTTTCAACAATATGTACACCCAGTTAACTTGGGAGCAGAATCTACTGAAAAGTACAGATCTCTAGGGTACTCAATCGCTAAACTGATGAGCGGTAACAGCTTTTAAAACGTCGCCTATGGCCATGTTTGGGCATAGTAGTTTTTGCAATTTCGCAGGCACACGCAATTTTAAGGCGCGACACCTTTGGTGTCTATTTACTTGATGTGACCCCGTCTTTTATATTTTAACAAAAAATTGGGTACTAAAAAGTTTCCTACGGTAGGGAAAACAGGATTTTGTTTCAAAATTGTCCATACATTTTCTTTATAGTAAAAAAAAATGTAAAAACCCCATACATACCACTAAAAGAAAGCTTTATTTGCTCCAAAAAAAATATATAAAAATTAATTTCAGTACTGTACGGCGTTGTATGACGGAATAAATATGTCGGCACTGAATACTGAAAAATGGCCTGGACTCTCGGTTTTCAAGTGGTCATTATAAGATGCAAGCCTACCAAAAAGTGTTTTTTTTTTACTTTAGTGGGTTATTCAATTTGACAGTATCTTCACAGCTTTTTTTCCATGCACTTCAATTCAGGTCAAAAGATCTCACTTTTCCTGTTCAGATCCACATTATGAAAAAAAATGCAACAAGATAACGTAACCTCCATTGAACTAGGGTCACTAGCCGGAAGATCTAACTAAATCTCTACAGAGTACAAGGGGCCAATGGATGACTCAGCCCAACAGAGTTTCCAGATAAATGTAAAGCCCATTTGGATAAGCTAACCCTTTAAATCTGTGAAACACAACTTTTAGACTAACACACTTTAACAACACTCATGTTCATGTACACTTTGCTATCTAGGCTACCTCTTCCTGGTGCTAAAGTACTTATGTTTCACTTACCTTTCTCGCCCATTGTTTCATAAGCAAGTTGAACATTGATACATTAATTAGATGATTTCTTTTTGGGTGTGCTGCATAAAAGAATAAGCATTGCTTGGCCTTGTCCAAATGTCCCAAGAAAATGCACGTTTCCAAGAACAAGTGGATGTTCTGTTGCATAGAACTAGATTGGTTTCCATCATTATCCTCTGCTAGATCATCAGTCTTGAGAGTCTTTTTCTGAACCGTGTTTTGTGTTTTTTTTATTGATTCCGTCTGTAATTGGCCGCGCTTCGGCTCTATAGGAACCTTAGCTTGCAATTTTTCTATATTCTTCTGCTTAGGATTTCTAATGGTTTTATCTCTATGTAGCTTTTGTATCCAGCGCTGACCTGTTTCCAGGATTTGCTTTTCTTCCTCTTGTTGGGCAGACAGTTTCTTATTCCTAGTTTCAAGCAGTGGCAAGCCCTCATCTGCCTGAAGTTGTTGGGCCCGGATCTCCAGGACTGAAAGAGCAGAAAAAGTAAGGAGATAAAGAGAAACCTTAATTATACAATTTATAAAGTTTATACCTCACTTGTGTCTCGTCAACAGAGGCACATCTTTTGCACTTTGACTATAATATGAAAAACTTTAAAGACAGCATGAGCTGAGGGAAACCTGAATTCTTCCATTGCAATCACCTTAGAAACCAACCTTTTTTGGCCATAATTCTCTTTAGGGCCACATGAGGACATATACTAATGTCCCCCTGTGACCCAAAATTCACTAAATGCGGATAGCACAGAGCCGCGCTGCAGTCGGGACGGATCCGGACAATATTTTCGGGGATCCACCCAGCTACCTGATTGACAGCTGGCTTTGCCTCTCTAGAGCTGTGCCCGCCCCTTCCCCTATCTCTCCCTCCAGTCAGCGCTGGAAGAACGGAGAGGGGAGGGGGGAATCCTTGCGGGGAGTGCTGACTTACAGTCACCACTTTCTGCAGGGAGATGATCGGGACGTCAACGATCGGCGGTATGTCATCACTCATTTCATGATCAATAGAGCTGACGTGTGACAGCTGCAGTGTGGCACATCGGCTCTAATTATGAGGATGGGTGTTTTTCACTTTTCCCATGATTCTCCAGTATCCAAATGCTGGTTGTCTGGCTTAATGTTAATTTCTTATTTCTGGATGTTTCCGAGCGCCTTATCTGAAATAAGCATGCAGTAAATAAAGTCAGACAGATTTCACAGCTCCTGATTTGCATTCTTGTTGAAGGTTATAGGAGAGATATTAGATTAGCATGACAACCCACGAACTAGCATTTTCAGTAATGGTAGCCAGCTATTTTCAGCACAGATATCGTTTTACCCATTTTCTGAATGCAGAGACCCTAGAAAATAAAATGGTGGTAGTTACATGTTTTTTATATTACAAAATATTAGCGCTAAAGGTTTCCCCCAAAATTTTAGAAAATTATTTTTATGAAACAGAAAACACAATATAATTAATATTCCTTGATATAAAAGATGAGGTTGTGTCAAGTAAACAGATGCCAAACATGTCAAGCCTCAAAACTGCAAACAGAGAAATCTTTGGTACCCCAAAAATTGTCCATAAGCAACACCTCTACAGGTCATCACTTTAGAGTTAACTGTGAATAATGGCCCTAGAATTATTGCTCTTACTCCAGCCTGCGCGGTGATACCGAGCAATCGGTATTTACACTTATGTTTGCATTTGTAAGTGCATGTATGTGGGGATGGGGCCTTAAAAAATGTTTTGGGGTATATTTTACCTCATTTTAGTGTTTAATGTTTTTTACACCTAACTTTAATGCTATCAGATAAGGGGATAACAAGCCCACTATGTGGTAGCTGATTAGTGGTGACAGGTTCTTTTTAAGGAGACAATAGGGGTCTCCTTAAAAATAGGGGTCTCTCTTGAAGAAAGACAAGCTTTATTTTTTGCCAGATTGCTACTCTGCTGCCTTGAATTGAGCTGTCAGTATCTTATGTTGATATACAGCAAGCTACTGCACAGCCCATCAGGGAAGCAGAGTAGCAATGACAAAGTCTGATTTTTTTGTCACAGTCAAATGCTACAGATACTTTTCTGCACACCATACTTGCTCATTAGGGCGCACTTACTTTACAAGTGTGCTCTTTGTCCAGCAATGCTATATCAATCTTTGGTCCCCAGCTGTGTCCCCTGCTGCCGCCATCTCTGCCGCTGAAACTTCAGGGTTCTTGGAAGTCCTCTTTGGCCATTGGGTGGCGCCACTGATGGTGTGTAACTCCTGCGCATGTGCACAAGAGTTGCATCCTCCCTGGCACACAGCCCATTCAAGGCATCTTAAGGATGCCATTAATGGGCTAGGTGTGTACACTGGACAGCATTTGCACTGCACAGGGTACACAGAAACAGAAAAATTTAAAATGCGAAGGGAGAGAGGAATAATTTTTTTTTTTTAGGCAGGAGACACTTCGCATGTCTCTTCTGCCAAAAATCTCTACCTCCCAGTGAATTTTTATTTTGCTGACTTCGCTTTAAAGTTCACTTCTCATGAGAATGAGAGCTGCTACTATGCAATTCGTTCAACACATCACTAATTTTAAAGAGAACATGCACTTCAAGATTATGTTATCCAGCTCTTGTACAAAGAGGGTGCAATTATGTCCTAAGCTGCAAGCCCAAGAGAAAGATGCAGGCATAGGATTCAGCTTGTTGCCGATCCCAAAAACTCATGTAACTACTCTTTGTAAGGTAAACAGGGGAGAACTATTACAGAATCAGAAGTACACTTTTATTAAAATAAGGTGCATTTCCCTGTAAATTCATTTCACAGACCTTCAAGTAATTCCATTCTACCTCGATCACAGGCTCTGACCTCATCCTTGGGCATTGAAGAGGGCGACCATTTCTGTGTGCTCCCTGCAAAACAAAAAGTGCATTCATAATCAATAGGAAAACTGGAAGCGGCATGACAAGGATATCCACTGAATTGTATTTTTTTATTAAAGTATATGCAAAATAAAAACATAAGTTTGGGTAGATTTAGAGCTCCTGACAAAGTTTTTATTACTGTTCTGTGTCTCTGTTTGGTAAATAAACAGAGGTTTATTGTCGGGATCCCCCCCACTACCTGATTGACAGCCTCTCTAGAGCAAGCTGTGCCCGCCCCCTCCCGTCAGTCCCTCCAATAAGTGCTGGAGGTACGGAGAGGGAAATTCATGCGGGGAGTGGTGACTGAAATGAGCAATCGGCAGTATGTGATCACTCAGTTCTCGATCTATAGAGCTGACGTGCGACAGCTTCAGTGTCACATACCTTCTACAACTATGGTGACGAGTGTATTTCACTAGCCCAGTAATTCTCCTTTAGTAGAGCAAGCAAAAGCTAGAACCCCGGTCATCTTTTTATTGCTGTCTGTGTCCCTGTCCCTCACTTCTCGCATGGGGAAATCTTTGTCACTGTGGAACTAAGGGAAAAGGAAGCACTCTAACAGCGCCCTGAATAGCAGTAAAAACCCAACAATTCTTCCCAACTCTATATAAAACTAAAAGACCTTATCAGGGGCGTAACTAGAACACACAGGGAACAAAATAAAGCGCCTCCATAGTGTAAAAAAGTGATTTCATAATAAAAACACGCAGCTCTAAGGCTGTACTTACAACAATTCAGTTGAATAAAAACCAGCGTCCTCTATCCCTGTTAGCAAAAGGTTTAAGCGTTTCTGGGGCACGCCCCCTTCATCAGAACCTAGTGGGCGTGCCCAAGAAACGCATAAACCTTTTGCTAACACAGGGATAGAGGACGCTGGTGAATTTTATCACTCCAGACTCTCACTGCTAGAGGTTCTGACTTCTCATCCTACTCTACTGGTTTTTATTCAACTGAATTGTTGTAAGTACAGCCTTAGAGCTGCGTGTTTTTATTATGAAATCACTTTTTTACACTATGGAGGCGCTTTCTTTTGTTCCTTGTTTCTTAGACTGGTGGTCAATCTGACCTATGGGAGCTGCCTCTTTCATGTTCGCTGCATCCAATTGCTGGGCACCCTGTAATTGAAGGCGCCGGTATTTTTTGCCAGAACTCACAGGGCCCCATAGCAAAATCTTGTATGAGGCCCTGTGATTTCTAGAGAAGTCCACCTGATAACCCAAACAGAGTTTGACCCTGCAGAGCCACCATAGACTCTCTATGGTGAGCTCTGCAGGGTCTCAGGTGGGCGGTCAAGCCTTCTTACCTGTCTGGCCGATCCTCTGTCCGCCTCCTTCTCCTACACGATCGCTTGCGTGCCCCGCCTCCTCCGTCACTGGGCCCCACCTCCTCGATCACCGGGCCCGCCTCCCCATCGCTAAGACCTGCCTCCTCGATTGCAGTGCCCCGCCTCCTCCATCGCTGCCAACGACGGGCCCAGCCACCTCCTCCGAAGCGGCTGGTTGTAATCGACTCAGCAGCGGCTGTGAGGAGGTACGTGCTGCTGCACATGTGAATGGCTGCGTTTCTCCTCAAAGCTGCCAGTGACAGCCAGCAGCCTGAAATGCCACAGCGACCCAGGCGGCCCGCGCGGCATCAGGGGGGATGTCCTGGCCGGGCCCCCGTGCCCCATAGCGGCCACCTGTGTCGCTATTGTAATTGTTACGCCACTGGACCTTATAATGTTAACAGGTAGACTTATTTGTATTTACAGCCCCTTCCCAGTGTTATACTCACCTGACATTGACCTAGTGAGATACAACCAACAAGGCTGCACCCTGACTTGTCAAAATCTTTTTGGCCGGACAAATACATGCGCTTTGCACTCCAAATCATTCCTATGGAGAGCTTCACAGTAACAGCTTGTACACAAAAGTGCAGAACGCATGGAAGGGCCCGGGCAGAAAGATTTCTGACAAGCTGGTGTGTGTGGCCTCATCAGCGATATCTCATTGGATGCGGGACATGTGAGAATAAGATTGGGGGAGGGGGCTGGTGGAACTACAGTACATTCCCCTTTATTAGTTAAACCACTTCCCTATGGCCTGGATGGGAAGGGGGTTTAACACCCCGGATGTCAACTGGTTAAAGAAGAATTTCGGGCATGTACAAGATGAACCCTTGCAGTGGGGCTACCCCCACACAAGGGTTAAGTGCTAGTTTTTGGTTGGTTTTAGTTTAGGTCTAAAATTTAAAAAAAAAAAAAAAAGAGATACTCACCTGATACTAGGTCCTGCAGCAATGACCACTCACCTCTCTTCTCCTCGGGCTGTGGTATATCCCTTGGTATCCTCACGTCCAGTGCAAGTGAATGGACATGATGATATCACGTATCCTCAGACCCATAGGGAGAAGGGACCGCAGGGACTGTTCTAAAATAATAAAGATATACTCACCTGATCTTGGGTCCGCCTATCTGCTAGAACACAGGTTGTGAAGAAGAACTGGTCGCACACCTTACCAGAAATCCCAATGATAGGGATGGGTGCTGAAATGTCTGCGGATGGCGCCGCTATCACATAAGTTTGATAGAGAAGGATGTCACCAGCACACCAAAATCCTTTGAAACAGATTTTATTAAACAGATTGTCAGTTGAAAAACAAGCGCTTTCGGGACCTCGCAGGTTCCCTTCATCGTGCTAAACATCGCCAATTAAAACTCACAATCTGTTCAATAAAATTATCAATTGATTATCCTAAAAATGATTTTGGTGTGCTGGTATATCTTTATATACAGACCTGTGCGAGCCACTGATCATGGTTGCAATGCTCTGCAGGATCCAACGCAAAAAAAAAAATGTATTTAATCAATGTGTGTTTATTAATTTTTTCAAAAGATGGACCATGCCTTTGAGTAGTAAACTTGCGTGTGCCCCTGAGAGATGAAGCATACAGGGTGGCTGCCTGTTCGTGTATAGCTGTGACCACATACACACAAGGGATGGAAGGTGCACATCATTCACCTCAAGGGAATTAAAGGACGAACATCTCTTGGATGCGGGTTGGCAGCCAAGGCAGTGTGAGAGCCCTATACTCCCCCTTTCACAGCTCGAATACTCTCCTGTCCCTCAACTATGAAGGCGATCAGGAGCCCACGTGTCTGTACCGGAAGTGTCGCTCACCTGTATCTAAAAACCTCCTGCAGCGCATACACACCCGACTGCCGTGTGCCACCCGATCCCGGAGAATCCGAGACACGTTACCCAGCCTCAACCCTAGCATTCTCCGTGCCAGGCTAGATGGGACAGCCAAGAGGGCGAAAGGACCTTCGTGACGGCACGGTCACATGACCTGCTGCGTTGGGAGGAGCAAAGTGGCCCATGTGTGTAAACAACAAATTGGAGGTCTTGGCTGAGTTTCGTCGTTCCTGTTGGTAAAATCCATGTGCCAAGGATTTACGGAAGCTGTCACTGCTGATCCTTTTCTGAAAAAATGGCAGCTGTCTGCCACCAGCAGAGTTACAAACTAGGAATGTCAAAGAAAGGTCACATGTCCTTATCTGTCCAACATGGCAGCCAGGCAGCTAGCATTCTCAGGAGAGGTCAGCAATGGCAGCCTCCATGTTTCCTCTCATGGCAGGTTCCTGGCTGTCATGTTCATCCTGGTTTTACTACCTAGGGAGTCACAGATCTGGAACATGCATGTGGCATATATTTCTGTAATATTCTAGTAAGTGTGAATATTTAGTATGTTGGTGCAGTAAATCAGTCAAGTAAAATATGTGCTAGTGTATACTAAATATAAATTACCTATGATTTATCACATAAGCCAAGCTTGGCACTTAACACACTTGGCACTTTTTTTTACAATTTAGATTATTAAACATAAATCCGGTGAAACAGTAAAAATCTTTGTGGGCCAATGTACACCTTGGTGCGTTGTGGGTATGTGCATTGCGTTAAGGCACCCCATTCAAATGAAACATGCACCATTCGGTCATCGGGAGATAGGAATTCCACACCCTTGCTGCCCCTCTACTCCCGGCTGCCCCATCCCCATCCCTGTGCACCGTAAAAAGTGATGCAGCTGATCACGATACAACAGTGTGAATGAGCCCTAAAATATGTTTTAACGCTTTCACTGCTGTTGCCATGGCTTTGTAAACAGACTCTTGGTTGCTACATCATTTGGGAGTTTGTTTACGCTTTTATAGATAGCTGTCGGCTTTCTACTGGAAGTAATTTGAGCAGAGGTAAAGCTTTCCAATCACTTCCAGGGGCCCGGAATATGTCATTCATCTGCTTGATTCCCGTCCGTCTGGCATTTATCCAAAGCTCTGCTGCCCCTTCTGGGAACCTCGGACAGCCATGGAAGGTTTCAGCGTGGAGAGAAGTGGATGATCAGTGAATTAATCCGGAAGCGACAAGGAGTGCAAAGGTGACATTAGGAGTCTAATAGACTCCTAATATCTCCGTGTGGAGTACCTGTCACCTCCATTGTGCTATCACTTGGGGGGTTGGTTATCCCCTTTATGTGATAGTGAGAAAGTAAAAAAAAAAATTTGAGAAAATGAAAGATTAAAAAAAAATGTAAAGCCCCCATGTACATAAACTCCAAGGGTGTGCTTGCATACTAAAATGACTTGCGTCTCAGGTTAGGTATCGCCGAGCATGCCAGAGCAATAATTACAGAACACTTATTTACGGTTAACTTTAAACTGAGTAGCTGTAAGGTCATCAGTTTAGCGATAACTGTGAATATAGGCCCTAGAATTAGGTGCACCCAACAAGTGTTTACTTTATTTTTTTACTTAATTGTCATCACATAGGGGGAGAGGGGGAGGCTCTCAAGCATGTGGACAACCTGGAATAATATAATATACTGCTTGGGAACATTGAAAAGGAGCTATACGTGGGAATGATACACTGCTATATTGGAAACGGGCTAATGTGTTTTGACACAAGTTCTTTTCACCTAGTCATAGGCAGACATGTCCATCACAGGTGAGG